ATATATATATATATATATATATATATACAAGGTCTGTAAATATAATGTTTAAGAATGACACACACACACATATATATATATATACAAGATCTGTAAATATAATGTTCCAGAATGGCATAGATGTATACAAGATCTGTAAATATAATGTTTAAGAATGACATATATATATACAAGATCTGTAAATATAATGTTCCAGAATGACATATATATATATACAAGATCTGTAAATATAATGTTTCAGAATGACGTATATGTACACAAGATCTGTAAATATAATGTTTCAGAATGATAAATATGTGAACAAAATCTGTAACTATAATGTTTAAGAATGACACACACACACACATATATATATATATATACAAGATCTGTAAATATAATGTTTAAGAGTGACATATATACATATATACAAGATGTGCAAATATAATGTTTAAGAATGACACACACATATATATATATATACAAGATATGTAAATATAATGTTCCAGAATGGCATAGATGTACACAAGATCTGTAAATATAATGTTTCAGAATGACGTATATGTACACAAGATCTGTAAATATAATGTTTCAGAATGATACATATGTGAACAAGATCTGTAACTATAATGTTTCAGTATGACATATATGTATACAACTTATGTGCGAGAAATGGTTATCAGTACTTAGTATATTTCATGACACGTACAGGGTATTTGCACTCCACTATGTCAAAGCTTGTACATTTTAATATATGTTATTTCTGAAACTTTACAAGGCATGCATTACAAGGCATACATTACAAGGCATACATTACAAGGCATGTAGCTGATTTTGTTTATTCCTAACATGACTTGTTTTTGTTTTTCTTGTGCAGGTATGACACAAATTGGAACTTTGACAGCCATAGCAGTGGAACGTTATATTATCATGTCGAAACCTTACAGCTCGACGAGAATGACACCGAAGCGCTCTGGTTTAATTATTGCTTGTACATGGTTTTACTCGTTAGGCCTGTGTTTGCCGCCACTGTTCGGCTGGAGTCACTACATCCTAGAACCACCAGGGATTGGTTGTTCCGTGGACTGGCTGTCAACAACAAAAAACAATGTATCTTACATTATTTACCTCTTTACAGTTGGTTTCGCAATTCCTGTATCTGTCATGGTCTTCTGCTACAGCCATATCATCTGGAAGGTTCGTAAGGTAAGAAACGTTCCTGCGTTTGTGTTTGTGTGTGTTTTCTGATAGCAAAGCCACATCGGGCTATCTGCTGTGTCTACCGAGAAGAATCGAACCTCTGATTTTAGCATTGTAAGTCCTAAGACTTACCGCTGTCCCACCGGGGGACCGTTTCTGCGTAGAGGGACATCAAGGAATAATGATAAGGAAGATGCGTAACGTAATGAAGATTAAGAAATAAAGAATTCACTATTTAAGGAAATATGTTTTTCACGTGCACATGTAAAAGTAAATCTTTGGGTTTGACGCTCCTTGTACTTTTTTCTGTGTCATGCATGGTTTCTACTTATCGTGAACGTATATGTTTATAATGAACATCCGTTTAACCTAGTATTATGTAGCGAGTTATAAATAATCCAGCAAGCTTTGATTTTTTTTAATTTATAGAAAAAAATGGGCTCACGTCCCTTTCTAATAATCGTCTTGCTGTTTCCATCGTTTTTCTTGAGATTCGGGCTGGGTGTGGCTTAGTGGGTAGTGTGGTCGGACTGTGAATAAAAAAAACAAATTTCGAACTTTGGGACCGTGGGTGTGTTATTAGAGTGACGGAGAAACCCCACTATGCGATCAAATACAAATAGTTAAAGAAGTGGCGGTAGGTGCTGTTAACTACCTACTTTTCTTCTAATCTGTTAGTTTAAAGGTAGAAACGGCTATGCGCAGATAGTCCTTGAGTAACGTTTCGCGAACTTCTGAAACAAACAAACAGTTTACTTGTCTTAAGGATAACACTTATTTTGAAAATTACACACTTTGTGTATGTGTTCATGTCATTACGGTAGATCATTTGTGTGATGAAAAAGTATCTTTTGTGAAACTCGAAGTTGTTATACACTAATCAATAAAAGCTAAATGCGTAAAAAACACCGTCGAAGATAAATGTAATTTGTACAAGCTTTATCACCAAATTTAGCTGTAATGTTCGCTTATATGTATTTATTGTCGTGTTGAGTTTCGTTGTCGCTATGTCGTGCCATTTTAATAAACTTCTTAAAAGCATAGCGTGTTTTCAAGACATTTCATGACCATTGTGCTCGTCAGGTGCTTACAGAAGTTGCATGTCCTTCATTCCCGATATTTCTTACTATTTTTTGTTTTCGTAAAAAACTTCATTGAATGTTTCTTGAGAATTCAGTGAGAACTTATATAATTTATTTCCGTATTTCTTACTGCGCTCCAGTATTCTTTTAACGAACTAACTGAGTGAAAAAAAAAAGAAGGAACAGTTAGTTTTAGTTTTAGCCTAGTTATTTTGAAACCTAAGTTTGAAGGTAATTTTCTGTATAATTCTTTTTGTTCTTCCTTTGTGTTTTCTTCCTTTTATTGCTTAGATTTAAATATTCCTTTTTGCTAGAAAGTTTGTTTGTTTAGTTGTAGTTAAGCACAAAGCTACACAATGGGCTATCTGTGCGCTTCTCATCACGGGTATCGAAACCCGGTTTTTAGCTTGCCAAACAGAACACATTTGAAAGCTTGGTCAAAATAGCTAAATTAAAAAATATATATTGAAAAAATCATTGTTTGATTTTCATGTTTGTAAAACTTTTTTCTAATAATCTAACCACCGAAGACACACACAGAGAACAGTAAGTCAGGATAAAAGTATCAAATTTATTCAATCTCTGTAGTGTTATACACAACTCTATTTCCTGTTGATAAAGTAAAATATTTCTAATCTTTGTATTTTGAAATTGTTAGCTAAGGTGATAGTTTATAAAATCATCATTATAAAGTTATATAATTTATATTTACGCTTATAAAGAGTATTTTGCATTATCGGCTGAGTATATGAATTTAGGAATAGCCTAAAGTGCCTAAGGTAGCCGGATTTTTTGAAATGTTATTGGAAAACAATATGGTAAAAGCAAAGTTACTGAGTTGGTGATTAAATGCAGTATCATAACATGTTTCTGATGTATTGACATGTATTATTCAGTATTTCTATTCATTGTTACGTACACATTAATGTATAAGTTTAGCTGGATTTGTATGTATAATTAGTTTATTTTTCCTCAGATGTTTTATAAGAATTACTATTAGAACCTCCTCTAAAACAGATAATATACTTTTAAACTATTTTACTAATTTTCATATGACAATTATCCATTCAGAATTAACATAATTATTATCACATTACCTAAAAGCTATCGTTGGAAAATGGATAACATGTGTTTTTTTTGTTGTTGTTGTTGGACTCTACTACTATCTATTTCGTCATTTATAGGATCACACAACTTTTGGAAAAAAAATCCATTTCTGTTCTTTCATTTTCTCTTAATGAAACTAACACTATCAGACATAGAACGTGTGTATTCAATATACCAGATGTAGTGTGGTTTACATGGGATAAACGGTTTAGTCATCCATAATTTAGAATTGCTGACCAGAGTGAAGGCAACCGGTCAGTAGCACCCACAACACTTCTCTTTTCGGCTCTTTGAATGAAATAAGAGGATTGATTATCATGATTATAATGATCCCATTGCTTAAAATATGAAGTGTGTTTAGCGGAATACTGCAGACCAGCGAGTTAATCACTAGGCCACACCTGGCCTGTACGAAATGAAACATAAATAAACACACACACACACGTGTAATGTCAAGGTATGGTCTAAAATATTGATTTTTTTAAAGTGTGTTAGACACTAATTATAGATCATTAGTGTTTAGCATGTTAGACTGCAGAGCTCAAGTTCCGTGGTTCGCCTCTTCTCCTTACCTTATATATATATATATACAATATACCCCACAGTTTGGGACTGTAGTGGGTTATAAGAGTGTCGGTTAAATTCCACTATTCAGCCTGACAAGAATAGCTTAAGAGTTGGCAGTGGGTGGTGTTGACTAGCTGCCTTCCCTCTGGTCCATCACTTCAAAATTATAGACTTCTAACTCATATAACCATCTTGTAGCTTTACGCGAAATGTAAAAACAAACTAACGATATATGTGTATCTATACTTTACACTAGTGCTCAATTTGGAAATTTCTGCATTCCTCAGGCTCCAAGAAGGACAGGAAAAAGTCATGCTGAAAGAGCTGAACAGCGGCTAACACTGATGGTTGCCACGATGATAATTTCGACGCTGACAGCCTGGACCCCGTACGCTGTCGTCTCTTTAATCATGGCACTAGGATTCTCTCATGTTCTTGGACCATTGTCTACTGTTAGTCCCGCCATATTCGCCAAGAGTAGCGTTGTTTATAATCCAATCGTCTACTTCTTCTTAAATCCCCAGGTAGAGTGTAATAACTGTAAAAGATAAGAAGTAATGTAGAACTAATATCCTTAGAAATGTAAAATAATTAGCTGTTACTTAAGAAGTTAGTTAATAATTTATGTGATCGCTGCCAGGTAATATTTTGAAGGATTATCCTTCAACACCGATTTTAACACAATTCTCGAGCTCTTAATCACTTATTTTTCTGGTTAAGCCTAACTAACATGAAGAAACTTTATAAAAACGGTTTTGTGATGATTGCCAAACATTTTTAGAAAACAAATTATGTGTTTTTGCAAGATTATCATTCAAAAGGAAAAAAAAACAACAAAGAAACACAGTGAAATGTCCATGTAGCTCAGTGTTTCCCAACCATTTTTGCCGTAGCGCCCCTTCAGCAAACAATGAGCACTCCTACTCCCCTTCTAATAGATTTTGAGACTATTAAAGTATTTTACTAACATGAAAACTGTAAGGCAATAATGGTCAATTCATATGGTTTAATTTTAACATGTATAACTTTGAAACCCTCGAAACTTTTCTATTCGCCCCCTTCAAAGTTTACGGGCCATGAATTTTAAAAACGCACACTGGAAGATGGTACGGTACAGGTTGAAAAACATTGATGTAGCTGAACGTAGCATTTCCTGCTTCCTTTACTTAAAGTTAAAGTTTACTCGTGTTTTTGTATTGCACTGGAGTACAAAATTACTCAATTACTAATGACAATTAAAAACCACGGGTTTGACTTTCTTTTATAAACATAGTCAATGTCATGACATTCGCATAGCGAATTTGATATCACTTGTTTCTTTTTGCATACATCTCTTAAATGTGGATTTGACAGGTAACTATAATGAAACTTTTGTTAACATTTTCATTTAACTTGTTAAAAAGGATGACTTGTGTGAAGGAGGATGTACACAATCCTAGCATATAGATATAGTGGATAGACTTAGAACCAATAAAAAAAGAGTGAGAGTGTGTACTGAGACCTTTATTTGCTCGTTGTCAAGCGAAATCTGCCCAATGAGTTGTCATTGCTGCATCCACCGTGAGTATCGAAACCCAGTTTTATATGGTTATAAGCAATCAGACGCTCAGACTTACACCGAGCCATTGTGGTCGCAAACAGAACCACGTATTAAGAATGTAGAAGCTTACACCAGAAATACAGAGGCAGGTCCTACACCGAGCCATCGTGGTCGCAAACAGAACCACGTATTAAGAATGTAGAAGCTTACACCAGAAATACAGAGGCAGGTCCTACACCGAGCCATCGTGGTCGCAAACAGAGCCACGTATTAAGAATGTAGAAGCTTACACCAGAAATACAGAGGCAGGTCCTACACCGAGCCATCGTGGTCGCAAACAGAACCACGTATTAAGAATGTAGAAGCTTACACCAGAAATACAGAGGCAGGTCCTACAGAACCACGTATTAAGAATGTAGAAGCTTACACCAGAAATACAGAGGCAGGTCCTAGTTATAGATCTTATAGTAAAATTCCGGAGCGTTTTTTTTTCTTCTCCAAGCTGTAAGTTTCTTATCCTAATTTTATATGGCGATATATACAGTCAGGCTAATTTATTGTTAGTTTTTGTTTTATCCTGTAAATCTTGATTGTTACTCACAAAAATGTGATAAGTCTGTTGGAGCTTTGTTGTGGCATTTGAAAAATACTAGGCGTTTCTTTCGCTTTTTTTTTAGTTTAGAAGAGAAAATACCCATTCGTAAAATGTTTCGTACTTCAGGGTATGTCCAACAGGTGGCTCAGAGGTAAGTCTGTTGGCCTATACCACTCAAAACTGCGTTTCGATATTCGTGTTTGACACAGCACAGATAGCCCATTGCGTAACTTTGTGCTTAACAAGAAATAAACAAAATAAGTGAACATGAACTTTTGTATTACGCATATATTAGGCCTAAGTTCAACCTTTCTTGTCAAGTAAACTTAACTGGAACTTAACCACTATAAAATGTGATTTGTATTTTGTTCTTAGCCCTTCAGTCAGAACAAATTGTTGACGTTTTTAAATAAACGTCTTTTTACTCGAGTAAAGAAATCCTAGAGTTATAGACTTAGCGAGGTTCCAGCTTTAGATATTTCTCCGACCACATTATAATTAGTTTCAAAGACTGTATAAACCATTCTAGCTAGGCGCCGTAATCAGTAGATTGTAGCAATCCAACAGTAACTATCACTGAAGGAATCAACCAAATCTAAAGTGTAAGTGCGTCAGGCACTGATTTTTACAATGTAGATTTACCTTGACAACAATGAACGAATAGTAGCTGAACAATTTGCCATTGTAGTGATGACACTGTAAACATTCACACTTCTTCGAGTTACTGAGTCACTTATCTAGGTATTTGGTGTTTAACTTTCTATATTTCGTATTACAGATACAGAAGGCAATGATGAATTGCAGCAAATGTTACCAAACTAACATCGCATCTCAACCTCAGCAAGAAATCAGTTTAGTGACCAATAATCTCACCGGTAGATGGAACCCAACTACTGAAAACCAATCGCCTCTACGTTCAGAACAAAATGCAAGTTTTTTGAAAAGAAGTAATCAATAACGCTGTCTAAATATCAAGTGACTCTATTTTCCATTAATTAGGGAATATGTAAAAATAAATAAACAATTAATGAAAAGTATCTTAGGAGAAGTAAACACAAAATATGAGTTAGACGTCATGTTGAGCGTGTTGTCTTGGGAGTCATTTAACAAATGATGTAGTAGTAAACAAGAAGGAATCCTCAACAGCCGCGGCACTTGAAGTTATTTTATGTAAGATTAGAGTAAATTAATGTATGAGACATTTTTTTCCCTTTCTATTAGTTATATTTTTGTGTGCTAGCAATAAAAAGCGTGGGGCACGCGTATGCCGATTCGATTTTATTACTTATCAGGATCTCTACCATCCTACCCTCAAATTAAAATTATTTTAGACAGGATTAAAATAAATGAATATATGAAACCTTGGGCGTGAGCAAATACATCAGTCGAAAACTGTAATTAGATCTCAAATCGGTTAAGAGATGACGGAGCTATGAGCTAAAAGTTTGTACTTGAAAAAAAAACACACAAAATAAAAATCTCTGTGCTGTTCTATGACGAGGCTAAAACGTATACTGGAGCTATCTCATTTATTAATGGCATTTTTCATAACTCATGACTTTACTTTATGGTAAACGTTTAATAGTTACCATCTTTTATCATTTAACTGAAATACATTACTTAATCAGTTATTTTACCCCTCCCCTCCTCCAGGTGCTCAGGAGTAAGTCTGAAGACTAAAAATCAGGTTTCTGTACCCGTGGAGGGCACATCAGAGATAGCCCATTGTGTGGCTTTGCGCTTAACAACAAACAAAGATTATGTTAAAGTAATTAATATAAGACACAAGCCTCCGTTATTATAAAATGGATTTAGTAATGCTACTTCTAGGACGATTATTCCATAGCTAGGAGTTAAGCAGTCTGTGAACAGTCGATATAATAAATGGTATATAAATATTTTTTCTTTACGATTGAACTAATAAATGATAAACTAGTGTTTTTAATAACATTGAGATTAATAAATGAAACTACCAATGTTTCTGTTTACAGTTGAACTCTTAAATAACATCACACACACACACACACACGAACACTATTCTTTCTCTTTACAGTTTACCTAATAAATTACATACCATTATCTATGCTTATAGTTGGATTAATAAATGATATACTACTGTTTCTATCAACAGTTCATTTAATAAATGGTATACCAGTGTTTGTCATTAACGTTGGTTTGAAAAATTCCATACGAATGTTATATTAATTCTAGTCTAATAAATGACTTACTGGTGTTTGTATTAACAGTCGAGCTAATACATGACATATTAGTGGTTCTTTTAACATTTGGTCTAATAAATTCTAAGAAACCATAAATGAATTTTTGTTTTTGTTGTTATTAAGCACAAATTGACACAATGGGCTACCTGTACTCTGGCCACTGCAGGTGTCGAAACCCGATTTTTAGCGTTATAGGCTCTTGAGACTTACTGCTAAGCCACTAGGGTTGGGACACATGAACAAAAGCAAAGGAGAATATATGTTATAATATGTTAACCAAACTAAATCTATCATAATCAGAGCCGACGAGGTCTTTCGTCCAATACCGGTCTTCATGAAGTCGGCTGGGATACGACAGACATAGTGGTGACCTAGACACTATATATATTTATATATACCATCATGTTTCAGTAACAACGACTATTATAATGTGTACCAGATTAAGAAAGTGAATTGTAATTAATATCAGTTTTATTTAAGTCATTGGCAAATCAAGTATTAGGGTAAGAATTAATGACATTTCACTTTATTTTTACATCAGTTATTCATGACATATTAGTGTTTCTATTAAAAAGTAGACTTAAACTGAAATACCGGTATTTTAATTAAAATTTGGACAAATAAACGACATTAAAGTGTTCCTAATAACAGTTTTACTTAAAAACGACAGGTCAGCGTTATTTTTTTTAACATGTAGTCTAATACGTAATACACCAGTATTCCTATTAGCAGTTAGTCTAATGAAGGACACATTAGTGTTTTTATTAACAGTTGGACTTACAATTGACATACGCGTATGTCCGTCAACAGCTAGGTTAGTAAAAGACAAAATAGTGTTTCTATTAAGCTGGACTAATAATAGAAAAAAAACAGTTTTTATTTTATTTTACAGTTCGACTAGTAAATGACATACCAGTGTTTTACTTTACAGGTGAGCTATTAAATGGTATATCAGATATCTAATAAGCATTCCTGCGTCTAATAAATAGCATACAAGTATTTCTATAACATACCTTTATTTCTTAAAAGATGGACTAATAAATGGTATATCAGTGTTTTCTTTAACAGTCGGTCTAAGAACTGATATACCAATGTTTCTATTAATAGTTGTTCTAATAAATGACATATCGGTTTTTCTATTAACAGTTAGTTATTAAATAAAAGTCATCCATGTATTTCTATTAGTATACCAATGTTTAAATAAAAGGCACCGGTGTATTTCTATTAGTACACCAGTGTTTAAATACAAGGCACCCGTGTATTTCTATTAGTATACCAGTGTTTAAACACAAGGCACCCATGTATTTCTATTAGTATACCAGTGTTTGAATAAAAGGCACCCATGTATTTCTATTAGCATACCAGTGTTTAAATAAAAGGCACCCATGTATTTCTATTAGTATACCAGTGTTTAAATAAAAGGCACCCATGTATTTCTATTAGTATACCTGTGTTTCTTAATAGGAGGATTAATAAATGGCATACCAGTTTTTATATTAACAGTTGGTTATTAAATAAAAGGCACCCATGTATTTCTATTAGTATACCTGTGTTTCTTAATAGGAGGATTAATAAATGGCATACCAGTTTTTATATTAACAGTTGGTTATTAAATAAAAGGCACCCATGTATTTCTATTAGCATACCAGTGTTTCTATTAACAACTAAGTCAATAAGTAATATACTAGTGTTTCTACGATTAACTTGGCTAATGAATGATATTTCAGCGTTTCTGATAACAGCTGAGATATTCTAAATCCCCGATCTGAACATATCTTTAGGTGCTGAGTGTACGAATATCTTGCGATGGAAAGGTTGTTACATACCATTCCTAAACTTAATAATCTTTCGTTGGCATCTTACTACTTACGTAACGCCAAACAATGTCAAAATGTAGTTCTAATACATTACGTTTCACCACTACGTTATATCGGCTGTGATTTTCGCATGACTTACGGATTTGCATATTCAAAATCATTTTAATATAACGTATTCAACCCTCTTTATATGTCTCAACTCAAATGTTATAAACTTTCTAGCTTACCACTGAGTTAACAGGAATAATATAGTACTAACTGAATGTTAGCAATCTGAACAATGTTCTACTAACCAGGTGTTAATGAAACGGATAAAGTAAGGTGAACCATGTGAGTTAACAATAGGAATAATATAGTACTAACTGAATGTTAGCAATCTGAACAATGTTCTACTAACCAGGTGTTAATGAAACGGATAAAGTAAGGTGAACCATGTGTGTTGACAGGACCACCAATGTAAGATGAACCAGATGTAAAGAAGACAGAATTGTAGCTGGTACGAAGTGCCGGCAAATGGTTTTAGAAGCGTACAAAGTTCAGTGATATATTTTTGTATGCGTTGGTAAAAGAGTAACCCAAGAGTTGGCGGTGGGTGGTGATGACTAGCTACCTTCCCTCTAGTCTTACATTGCTAAATTAGGGACGGCTAGCTCGTGTAGCTTTGCGCGAAATTCAAAACAAACAAACAAATAATATTTTTGTAATAAATTATACGTATTAAGCATAGTACATTTTTAAAGATTCCTACTGTGCTGTTGAATCATAAAATATTTTTTCTACGGAGGCTGCGAGCGCATGCGTATTCGAGTGATCGACCTGCAGGTATACTAAGTACTGGCATACAATGACGTATTCGAATGATCACCCAGTAGATATACTGAGTACTGGCATACAGTCTTACAAAAGTTCACCCTTGGGTTTTAACTCAACAAACTATCTAAACTGAATCAAGCATTAACATCACGAACAATCGATATTATGGTTAATAATTATACAAGGTAAACAAAATAAGTATTAACAGGAAGAACAATGAAAATCGAATCAAATGTATTTAAGTTTTGAAGAGATTGTTTTAATCTTATTTCTAATATTCATCGTTATTCATCAATCAGTACCTTTATTTTGCACACATACACATATATGGGAAATCATTTATATTAACTTCTTCTTGTAAACATACTGTTGTTTAAAATATTAACGAACTGAAAAACAGAAGTGGGTGGCAAACTTTTCCAACCAATCACACGATATGTAGCCTAATCGGCATATATTTAGAAGTTATAGCGAAGTAATAATATTCCTAGATATTATAGCATCGAAACACTGTAACATTCGCATAACACAAAAACTTAAGCAAGTAAGGTTATCGTTACTTTCTCACTCCAAACTAAGATCTATCTTAGTACTTTCTCACGCTGGAGGATTAATTTTTTTTCAACTGCTTAAAAAAATTCATCTTCCAGCAATAAGAAAAAAAGTTATATTATTACACACGGAAGTGAAGAAGTAGATTTTCGTGATTCTTAAATTCAACCAAAAGAATTTTAATTACGCAAGTTGCGCTCTAATGAAGTACTTAAAAAAGAACAAACGACAAATTACGAGAAGTTTACAGATGAGGTCGATGTGGAAATAATAGCGAAACTGTGATATACAAAAGGACTGAAAAAAAGCTGAACAGTAAAGATATACACTAAGTTCATGCAAATCGAAGGATTTTAAGCTGATAACACAAATAAATTCTCACTTATCAGACAGAGCCTTGCATGAAGTGGTGGTAACACTGAAGAATTCAGAACTCGTCACTTGAAAAATAACGAAAAGAAAACTCTAATATAAGAATATGTTTATAGTGCGATCGTTATGTTGTACATCGAACACGAGTTTTTACTGGCTACAAAACAGCCAGGAAATGCCAATATCAGCAACATTTGTCTTACAAAAATGA